AGGACAAGGAGCCTGCAGAAGGAGGGGTGGGGGGGTGATGGCTGACTTTTCAGAGCCCTGCTTTGGCAGAGGTTGGAGGACATAGCTCTTTGGGACCTTTCTTTGCACTTCCAGGTCTCAGGTGTATGTTACGATCCTTTGCTAATAGAACTAGCAGTGTCCCCGCGTGATATTAAGGGTTAGTCCTGAAGGATAGGTCTTGAGCCTGAGTGCACAGGGTGGAGCAGAGTGTGATCCTGTCATGGGGTAGGAGAGCCAGGTGCCAGGATCAGCAAAAGGGCATAAACTTCGCTGTCTCCTGTGGCTGGGCAAAAGCTTTCGTCTGCAGTTTTTAACCTCCCTTCCTGAAAGACGGGCCAGCCTCTGGAGACTGACTGCGCTGCCAGGTGCCTCTCTCACTTTCTCTCCTGCTTCACCTTTTCCAGGAGCAGTTGAGTTTTCAGGAGAAGATTACAAACTTTTAGGAGTGGACCTGTCTGACTTATCCAGGTTAGAGGAAGCCCTGCAAGGGGCAGGCCTGGATTCCAGAGTTCCCACAATGATTCTGGCAGAAGTTGTGCTGACATACATGGAGGTGGAGAGGTTTGTGGAGTGTCTCTTCCTTTTCCTAAAGTGGGCCACTAAATAGTCAGTGGTTGTATACATGGATTGCAGAAGAAGAGTAAGCCAATACTCTTCTGCAGTTTGCTTTCTGGAATAATGTTCCAGGAGGATGCAGGAAGGGTAAGAACTGTCTCCCATAGTTAGTCATGGCCCCATATGAGCTCCTGAACAGAGCATGCTGTGCTTGAACTTGGCAGTTCCAGTTAGCTGTCACATCATGGACACAGCTCCATTTCCTTGTCTTCTCCATCTATATGTCTGGTGCCAGTATTAAAGACATCAGACCAAATTATTACTCTTAATTTTTTTAATCTTTAATTTTTATTGACTAACTGTATACTGTGGAAAATAGTACCTTTTCGTATCTGTTTGGATCTGCTGCTAGCCAGCTTAGCAGGTGGTTGCATTGAGATCTAGTAGGGTATTGGGATCGTAGAATGATGAAGTTGGAAGGGGCCTCTAAGGCCATCAAGTCCAACTCCCTGCTTGATGCAGGAATACATATCAAAGGATATCTGCCAGGTGGTTGTCTGAGTTTCTCTTGAATGCCTCCAGTGTTGAAGCAGTCACCAACTCCCGAGGTAGCTGTTTCCACTGTCGTACTGCTCTAACAGTTAAGAAATTTTTTTCTGATATTCAACCAAAATCTGTCTTACTGCAACTTGAGTCCATTGTTGTGTGTCCTGCACTCTGGGATGACTGAGATGGTTCTGTAGAGGGGAGCAGGTCCTCCCTGTTGATCTGTTATTGAAACCTGGTGCATGATCAAGAGCAAACAAAGCTCCAGGATGAGGTCTTGAAAGGTGAAAGCCCCACTGTAGCTCTTGAGACTAAATAAAAAGAGGGGGGAAAGCAAGGAACTTTGGCTATCTTGAAGAGCCATTTTTCCACACCAGATATCATTTTTTTAATCCTAGGATGTGTCTTCTTCCCACTTTGTATGCTTTCACTTGTCCCTTTTGCCTTCATTGCTTTGGGGACTATGCAGTCCTGCTCGAAGCTGGTGGGTACCCTGAGATCATGGCTCAGGACTGGATTTGCACAAGGTGGCTCTTCATTGGCTGAGATATTCCCTCCCTCCTGTCTCTTATCTGTAACTCTTCTTTGATGCCTTGTAGGTCAGATGTTTTAGTCCAGTGGGCAGCTGGGCATTTCTTGCAGGCGTGGTTCATTCTGTATGAGCAGATTCACCCTGATGATCCTTTTGGACGTGTCATGAGGAGTCACTTCAGCCAGCTCAAATCTCCGCTTTGTTCCCTTGTCCATTATCCAGACTGCAAGTCTCAGCAAGTGCGGTTTCTCGAGAGGGTACGTTGGGTCTTGAATTGCAGAGGGAGGGCTGTGAGTAAGTGGGGCAGAGGAGGGAGATGAAGGGGCTCAAAAAGGCTGCATGGGGTGGACTGTGCTGCATGGAAGGGACTGGGCGAAGGGATGTCCTGGAGAGACTCCAGGGGCTTGTTTTTAGTTCTCTGGTTTTCTCATCAGGGCTGGAGTGACTGTACTGTCATTGACATGAATGAATTCTACAGCCGGCTTGTCCCTCAAAAAGAGCAACAGAGGATTCAGGCCTTGGAACCCTTTGATGAGTTTGAGGTACTTCTCTGGCATTTTGAGTCAATGCCCCAGTCTTTTGCCTCTGGTGGAGTTTGAGTCTGAGTTCTACGCTTGCCTTTCCTTCTCTAGAGCCAGCTGATAGTGAAGAGTGTTTCCATCTTAGTAAAGTTTCCCTAGGAAGAAGTAGAGAAACAGCACAGGGATGCTCCACAACCTGGTAGATACGTAGTAAGGTTAGGACCTAGAGACGGTGGGAACAGGCTGGGCAACAACCCCTTGGAGATGTAGGAGCCGCTCCCTGAGCCTGGAGTCAGCTTAGATAATAACCCTAACCCTCTACGAATCCCAGTTCTTGGAGTACATGATTTCTGGCTGTTCTCGCTCACTGAAGCTGTTCCCTCCTGCATGGAAGGTTGTTTTGTTTGTTTGCTTGTTTTTTAAATTATTATAACATACAAACCCAAAAAGATCAACAATTTAACTTATAATCAACAAGACAAAAAGATAAAATATAAAAACTACTATACAAACAACCAGGAAAAAACTACTAACCTAAACCATCCTTCCTGCTGGAAAGTTTGAGTCATGAGTGTGTATTTATAAGATAAGAGAGGATCTTTAATTTCTCTGTGTTGGGTCACGAAGGGAAAGGAGTGTGATCATCATCAAAGGAAATAAGGAATTGTAGGCAGATGAGCAGGCAGGCCTGGATTGGTGGATTGTGTCTTTGGCCTTCCCTGGTTTCACTGTGTATTTTCTCTGGCCGTAAAAGAAGGAAATGAGAGAATCATAGAAAAGTGAAGTTGGAAGCGCCCTACAAGACTATCAAGTCCAAAGCCCTGCTCAGTGCAGGAATACAATCAACTTCATTATGCAGACATGCAGTGGTATAGCAACTGACTATATAGCACGATGAATTCCTGCTCTGCCTGCTTGTGATAGTGGAAAGCTGTTAATCTCTTAATCAGGTGGCAAAGATGGAGACAGGTAAGTCTTGTGGGTATATTTTATCAGGCTGTGAAAGCCAGTGGACATTGTCCTGGAGTGGAGTGGTGGTGGTTGGGCAGCTCCTCCAGGTGAAGGGGAATGCCTAGCAGATGCCCCCCCTGAAGGGACTCAGAGCTGTGCCTGACTGATCTCTCCCCCCCCCCGCACCCACCTCTTGGCTTCCCTGCAGGAGTGGCACCTGAAATGCTCCCATTATTTCATCCTTGTTGCCTCAAAGGGAGAGACCATGTCTCCAGCTCTTGTGTTTTCTGGCAGAGAAGGTAAAAGTGCAATAAACTATTTGATTTATTTAATATCTGTGGGCCACATGTTTCCTGGTTAGAAATATGTATTTTCTGTCTTTCTTTAAAATTGTTTTAAAACAGATTTATGAGGTAACCTTAAGGAATTGTATTTTTAATCACTTTAATACTTTAAAAAATTATATACGGTTTTGGGAGAGTACCTTTGCTGAGAGACAAGGAGGGTAGAAATGAGATGAAGTAAACAAACTGAGAAGCTGATTTGTAATGTTATACATGAGTTACTCAAGGACATGCAGTAGGCCGTTGCCACTGCTCTAGAGCCACCATTTTATTTCCAGCTGATTGGTAAACATTGGGGTTCTCTGCAAATGCAATCTAGATCCTGTGTGCTTGCGTGTTTGCCAAAGATTAAACAGATCCTACCAAGAGGAATGGACTTCTTCCTGGAATTGCTGTAGGTGGAGAAAACTGCGCTGTAAAAGAGTTGGGAAAAAGAACAGACTATTGTTGCCCAAGAGAGACCTTGAGATGAAAAGCAAGACTTACAGAGGCGGACAAAGGAGAAAAGTATTGTAACCCTTTCAGATGGACTGATAAATGCATGTTTGGCACATAACATGGCAGCCGCTTTCTCAGATAAAGCAGCAGTGCCTCAGAGGAGTTTGGTATTAAGCCAGCCAGAGAGAAAGCAGAGACCCCAGACCTTACACTTGATGGAACTCAAGACCAGTTGTGATTAATCTGTGTTGCTAAAATGTTCCAAGAAATAACAGTAAAAGGTCTGTCACGTTTAGTGCTGAGATGGTGAGAATTTCCAAGACAGTGACCACTTTAATCTGGTAACAAAAATGGAGTGGTGGCGTGTTAGAGGATTGATGGAGGGATCCTTTTAACAGTATCCCTAGTAGTTTACCTTTTTCTGAGGAATGCTTGTGTGGATAAGCTCACAGGCATCTGCATGGCTTGGACAGGCAATTCCAGAGTTTCCTGGTGAGAAGAGCTTTCTTCTATTCCTTCTCTACCCTCGTGGGAATGCCTCTGCTACTAGTGACATAACCTATCTTTCTTCCTTTCAGCCTTACCGATTTGTCGTGAGCCTGATTTTGCAGGGACTATTTCCTCCTCAGTCTGTGCAACAGATGTTGGCATTGCAGGATTGAGGCGGTATGGCCATCGTTCTGTGCTCCTGGCTCCAGATATGGTCGTTACCACAGGAGGTTTCGGTGATCATGGAGGGCATCATTGCCGCCTGACTGAGCTGCACGTTTTGATCAAGCATGAGGGGGCATGGAGAACAAGCAATGTCTGCCTGGCCAAGTCAGGGGAAGCCTGGGGTATGATGCAGGATGGGGGCCCAGAGGTGTGGATGGTATGGTGCATGCCCCTTGGTCTCCCCTGGCTTTACGTCTCTCTTTCTTCCCACAGATGGACGACTCTTCCATTCATTAACGCTTCTGCAAGCAGGCTGGGCAGTGGTGTTGGGGGGACGTAAGTCACCCTTGAGCCCGGCTCTGATGGCGTGTCGCCTGAGAATGTCAGGGACAGCTGAGTCTCCTGTCCTTGAGCTCACTCATCTGCCATCCCTTAAGGAGCTGGCCATGCCCCGCTGGAGGCATTCAGCCACTGAGATTGCATATGAAGGTAAGAGGAAGATTGCAGTGTCTGGAGGGGGCCCGGCAGAGGTGAGCATGGAAGGTCCCAAAGCAGCCTCTTGAAATTCCATCTCTATCAGCCTGGACATAGCTGATACCAGGAGGAAGATGTCTCTGGCTTCCCTTGAACAAGGGTAGGAGAAAAGTACATGATGTAGGAAAGGGGAGGTGGTGGCATAGAGTTTCTCCTTCCTTCTGCATTGTTCTTAAGCACAAAAGAGGTTTATTTAGGGTCCCAACCCTCTCTTCAAAATGGCTAAAGTGAGACCACTTCTAATCTTAAGAGTGCACGCCCATGTGGGCAGGTGTGTAAATGTGTGTTCCAAAGTCTTGTGGAGAATGGCTGTGCCAGCTCTTGCAGGGGAGGGTTGGCTTTCCTCACTCTCCTTCCCCTTGCCTCAGTCACCTGGCAAGGCATGTGTTAAGTTCAGGTTGCTTAGGATGGCAGATGGAGATGCCAGGGAGGGTGTTGGATGGTGCAAGTATCCAGCCTGATTTTCTGTTCTCCTGCCAGGGGAGATGTACCTCTTTGTCTATGGGGGCTGTAGCTCTGGGCAGTCTGTGTTGGCAGATTGGCATTTCCTGCACTTAGAAGAGTTTTCATGTCGACAGGTAAGGGGCAGAAGCTCGTAATTTGTGCAGGTTCAGGCTGTCTTGAGCAACTTTTTTTTACCTAAGCTAATGTTGAGTGGATCTGGAGACCATCCAGGGGATGGTCCTTCCCGCTCTGCATCAGTCCCTTAATTGGATCAGTTATTAGCCTGTGAGAACAAGGAGCACCATCAGCATCAGCTGCTACGTGCAGTTTTGTCAGACAAATGTATGGTCAAGCTTATGTTTTCCATTCTTTCCTGCTGGGAGCCCAGGACAGTATGCCTGCATCCTTTTGCATCCATTTTAGCCTCCCCAAAACAAGCTTATATAGGTTGGGTTGCAAGAACATGATGAATTCAATAAGCATCTTGGCTGAGTGGGGATTTGAATCTGTGTTGCCCTGTCCTGATCTGATGGGATCACGGCTACCTCCCAATATTTCCACTCTGTCGTCTTGTTACTGGGCATGAGTAGCTCCTTGGAAGTGTTTGTTTCTTTCTTTATTCATACTTGCCTTCCTGTGCCTCTCCACAGCCAGCAAGCAGACCTCAGTCACCTGTACATTTCTGAGAATGGGGTGGGAAGGGTTTATCTGTATCCCAGACTGGAACATTTCTATCCTTGAAGGACTGCTGTGTCAAAGCAAGGTTCAAGCTTGCAGAGTAGTAACAGCTCCTGCCCAAACAACTAGGGTCTTGAGGAAAGGGATAGCTACATATTGACAGAGTGATAAGTTTCTGTTTGCAACGCTGGCAGGCCTTTCCTCCTATGTGTTCCTCTATTTTCATGGCGCTTCTGTGTGGGATGTTTGTGAAGCAAGCTGTTCAGGGCAGGTGTTTCCCATGGCTGCATCTGATAGCGGGGGGGGGGGGGGGGAGACCCTGTTCGCCGTACAAGAGAATGAAGCTGCAAGTAGCTTCCTTTCGTTCTGCTCCAATCTCCTAGATTCCTGTGAAAGGCCCTGTGCCATTGGGGCGTCACTCCCACACTGCCTGTGACTGGTCAGGTGGGGTGCTCATTGCAGGAGGCCTGGGAGCAATGGAGAAGCCTCTAGGCTCCATCCTTTTTCTGAGGCCAACTGACTGTGGCTTCCGGTGGGATTCTATTGAGACCTTTCCTCCACTCACTCCTAGGTAAGTGGGCCATGCTCTGCCACCATCGCCACCCTCTTTCTTAATTAAGCACGTGGTAGCTGCTTTTCCAAGAATAGCAGGCCTTCACTCCTTCTCTGGAGTGAATCAGAGCCCCTGGCTGGTAGCAGCCATGTCCCATCTGTTGGGGATTTAACCAGCCACTAGAATCGTGGACCAAGTGGAATCAGAAAGGCAGATGCAAAATGCAAGGTGGTTAATAAATGTATCCAGAACTTAATTTACTCTCTGCTTTTCTGTCTGTTAACAGAGGATTAGAACAAGCAATAAAAAGCTGATACAGCCCCCCAGTAACTTCCAGCTTAAGTTCCTTCTTCATCCTGATTCGTTTTTCTGACCTTAGATTTTGAATAGGCTTGGCACAGCCTGACAATTCAGTGTGTTGCTACATGGGCAATGCAGTTATAAAAATTGCCCAGTATTCCCAAGATACCATTAAGCATAGAAGGAAACTGTTGCTTAAGTAACTGTCACAGGAGAATCCCAAGGCAGAGAGTTTGTTTCAAATGCAGGACTGGTTTCAGGAAATTGAAATGAACATGACATTTAATCAAAAAGGAAGAAAAGACTTCAGAACCGAATACAGTGGTGCCTCGCAGAACGAGCGTCCCGTAGAGCGATGAATTCGCTCTACGGTGACGCTTTTGCGATCGCTAATGCGATCGCAAAGCGATGCCCCCAATGGGCAAAAATTGCAGAGTGAAGGTCGGTAAGCGGTTCGCTTACCGACCTTCGCTTTGCAACCCGCCGATCAGCTGTTCCGCAGCTTCAAAATGGCTGCCGGAACAGCCGAAATGGCTGCGCGCAGCGTTTTCGCGCCCTCCCCTCGCTTACCAAGGGCGCGAAGACGCTGCGGCCACCCATTTCGGCTGTTCCGGCGGCCATTTTGGACCCGCCGGACAGCTGATCGCAGCCATTTTCGCGCCCTCGTTCAGCGAGGGGAGGGCGTGAAAATGGCTGTCGTCCATAGAGGGACATCGCTGTACGATGAGTAAATCAACTAAGTTTAATGCATTCCAATGGCTTTTTTCTTTCCGTACAGCGATGTTTCACACAGCGAGGGTTAATCCGGAATGGATTAACCTCGCTGTGCGAGGCACCACTGTATCGGGAGACAAACTTGGTTCATTTGACGTATGCTTTCCTGTTTCGTCCTTTTGGAATCCCTCTAAATGAACATGTTTTCAAGGGTCCTATTTAAATTAGACGGCTTCAGTAATACCTACCCTACCCCATTTTGATAGAAAAAACACTGAATTATGTGAGATCACACCCTCAAATGAAACTTGACAACTTCAGCTGAGCAGGCTTTTGACATGTTTGACCAAGACCTTTGATGTCCCCTTGTTTTCCTGTGTTCACTCTATGTCAAGATACTCACACACGGCCCATGTGCACTGTGGGAAGTTGCTTCTAGTAGGTGGAGTTTGGTTCCATGCTACTTCTGTGCCTGGTGTGGCTGTGATCGACCTCATGTCGGGGCTTGTTGCGGAGTATCACATTGACACGGTGAGTTATATCTGTGGATCTGTCCCTCATTCAAAACTTAATTGGTTACAGAGGTATGGCCTACCATAGGTGGCTGCCATTAATGGGCTGTGAAAACAGGTTCCATCTCCAACTGGAGTGCCATTGGGATGGGCAGGTGAAGGGCTGGAGCTATCGGGTACCTTGAGCATCATGGCAGCTCCCGTTGTGGCCGCTCCCGTTCATTCATCAGTCGGTTTCCTGATGCTCTGTCCTTTTGCTCTGTCTCGCCTCTGCCAGGCACCGATTGAGTGGCCACTGATGTTACACAACCACAGTAGCATCTTCTTGCCCGATGAAGAGATGTTGCTACTTGGCGGCGGAGGCAACTGCTTCTCCTTTGGGAGTCATCTAAACCAGCACCCTGTTCGGCTGGCCCTGAGGAACATCTGGAGAGTCCCATGATGTTTTGGGAGCCAGGAGGACTTTGCTTCACAGGCCTGTGAGTCATGGCAGGCAATGGAATGACAAGAGGGGGGTGGCTGAGGTGCCAGATGAAGATGTGAAAGATAGTCATACAAAGGTGCAGGATGTGTTTTCAGTTATCTCGGAGTCCAGGACATGTAATAATGGGCTCAAGCTACAGGAAGCCAGACTTGGGCTGAATGCCAGGAAAAACTTCAAAACTGTTAGAGCAGTACAACAACAGAGTTGGTGAGGGCTCCAACGCTGGAGGCATTCAAGAGAAGCGTGGGCAACCTTCTGTCAGATCCACTTTGATTTGGATTCCTGCCTTGAGCAGAGGGTTGGACTCAGTGGCCTTATAGGCCTCTTCCAACTGAATTATTCAAAGATTTTAGGAGGAGGTGGTTGTCTAGTTGAGGGCTGGGGTTCCTTCCCTTCAGTGGTACTTCATAAGCTGCTTGAAAGGAAATCATGTGTTTCTTGAAAATCAGATATGTAAGTGGTTGAAAGAATGTCACTGGAGTTGTAGATAGCATAAAGGAATGACAAGCGATAATAGCTCAAGTGGAAGCCATCCTGTTAAAGGAGTGGGAAGGGGGTCAGAGACTTGGTCAGTCGGTTCCCCGCGTCACGTGGAGTCCAAAGAGCCTAGGAGGGCGATTAGTATTTTCTCCTACAGCCATAAAGGATCCGAATGAAGCTGCTGCATAGGAGACATAGCAGAAGCCAGAGTCGGGGAAGGCTGCCTTGTCAGGGGAGAGTCCTTGGAATCTCTAGGTACTCCTTAGGATCATTGTGTCATCACCAATTTATACCCCCACACAACCACCTTCTGTAATCCTAAACCCATGATTGTAGGAAGTTAGCCAGTTTCTCCAGAAAAGGGAAGCCAGAGGCCTTTGCAAGCATCTCACCCTCTCTTTCTTCCTTCCTTCCTTCCTCTGACCTGTGCAAACTATCCTGACAACCGATGCAGTCTTCCTTTTTCTCGACTGAAGTATCCACACCAGCAAGAAGGGGAACTGCCTGTCAGAATGTTGCTGTTTTTGTCATACAACTAAATGCTTGATCCAGTCACTTGGCGATTTTCTCACAACAGTCAGCCATTGCCTAGAGTCGACAGTCCATGGCATGCCACAGCTACATCCTCTGGGGTACACTCTGTCTTGTGTGAGATTTTAGAAAATAAACACTGACCTCATTGGTTCTTGGATGGGAGAAGGAGTCCATAAGTTGGAACTGACTTGATGTCTCCTGATGACAGCAATTTTCTTTATTTGCATACTGTTCCATCTTGTGGTCTTCCGTTGTGGTTGACCACCCAGAGTTCAAAAGGTAGCCATAGCCATGCTTTCCTTATTTGGAGCACACAGAAGAGAGTCCCCTATTACAGGATTTTCCTCTTCCTTGTATTGCCAGCATACTGGTGGGGAGATGAGGGGAACTGGGAATAGATTCCAAATGCTGTATTTTTACTGGGACCAAGGAGGCTGCCTTCTGCTGAGAGGATCATTGGATCATCTGTAGTTCCTTCTTGTCTAAGCCTGAGTCTGGAAGAATTCTGGTTTGGGACTCACAAAGATTGTGTTGACTTTTCTGCTGCATGATGTCTGGAGTGTGGTGCACAGCCGCCGCCGCCTTCCTTACTCACATGTTTTTCCTCACATAGTGCTCTGCCATTTCTGTCCTACTCAGCAGTTCTGCCATCAAATCAGTGTTCCACTCAAAACAAAATCCTGTATCATGGAGTGCAAATATTGTAGAAGAATATACAGTGGTGCCCCGCATAGCGACGTTAATCCGTTCCAGGATTAACATCGCTATCCGGAAACATCGCTGTACGGAACAAAAAAGCCCATAAGAATGCATTAAACCCTGTTTAATGCGTTCTTATTGGGCAAAAACTTACCGTTCAGCGAGGATCCTCCATAGGGGTGGCCATTTTCGCCGCCTCGGTAAGGGAGGAATCCCTCCAGAAAAGAACTGGAGCCCTCTTCCCGGCTCCAGCCCCTCCCCCTCCCCGCCTTGCTAAATAGGCAGTGTAAAAGCACTGCCGAAGCCTCTGAAAGCGGGGCTTAGCCGGGGTGGGGGTGCTGCTAGGCAAGCTTCTAAGGGTGGGTGGGTGGCAGGGACAGGCCCACCACCACCCCGCCCCCCTCACGCCGCTTTCGGAAGCCTCCTGGGGCTATTTAAGCAGTAAAAATGCACCTCTGAAAGCGGTGCTTTGCCTATTTAGCTGCTAGGCAAGCTTCTAAGAGCAGCCGCAGCTTCCCGCCCGTCAGCTGTAAGGCGGGAAGGGGGAGGGGCTGGAGCCGGGAAGAGGGCTCCAGTTCTTTTCTGGGATGAGGGATTCCCCCCCTCATCGCAAGCTCTGCAAAAACGGAGCATTTGCGATGATTCGGGGGGGAGCCATCATCGTAATGCAATTTTTCGCAATAGGAAAAATCGCAATACGATGCAAAAAGCGATGGAAAAATCTTCATCGCTATGTGGATTCTTCGCTAAACGGGGCACCCGTTAAGCGAGGCACCACTGTATATATTTTAAATTTTCAACCTACAGTGGGGTCTTGAGTTAAGAACGGCTCGAGTTAAGAACATTTTGACTTAAGAACTACTCTCATAGGAAAATATTGACTTGACTTACATACTTAGATTTGAGTTAAGAACTGAAAAAAACCACATGGGAGGCAGGGAAAGTGCAAAATTTGAACTTTCAGTTAACTGTTGGCCAGTGAAAAGGGTGCCTGTCTGCTTCCTCACTCCTCCCAGCGTTTAGAGAGTGGATTGGGAGACAGTCTTCAGACTGCCTGGTACTGTCCTGCCTGGACTGTATTTTCCCTGCCTTCCCTGAACCTTTCTTGACCTAAGGAAAAAAAAAGAAACAAAATATCCCCCTCTAGTGGTTGAAGGCGGAATAGCAGCTTCCCATTAGTTTCTATGGACGGAAAAGAGCAAATACAGATCAAATGGTTTTCAATGCATTCCTATGGGAAATGCAGATTTGACCTGAGAATTTTTGACTTGAGAACCGCCTTCCAATACGGATTAAGTTCTCAAGTCTAGACCCCACTGTACTTTATTTTAGACAATCTGAAACATTACAAAAAGATAATACAATTAACCATTCATCTTGCTCATTAAATATTTTAACATTCTAAACACCAGCAATTCACACCATTTAACAAACTACACTTACACTCTAATCTCCATTTCATCCTAGAAAATTACCAACCATTAATCTGGGCAATCTAGATTATTTCCTAAATCATGTGACTTTTCATTTAACTTATTGGTGTATTTTAATAAAGGTTTCCAAGTTTTGAAAAATTGTGCTTTACTTCTCCTCTATATAGATCTTATTAGTCAATTTCTCCATCAACAGCATTTGCCATTCAAAAATATCTGTAATGAAAGATCTTGGGTGGTAGTTCATTTTTTGGCAATTTCACACCTTGCGATTCGTATAATATTTGCAATTAGGTGTTTATTAAATAGTGCCTCATTTCCCATTGTAAATGATGAAAATATTGTTTCGTTCTGGATTACTTTTTCAGTAGTCAATGTTTCTGTCCAATTGATTATATCATATCAATATGCTTCTATTTGGGGGCAAAAAATCCTCATGTGTTCCAAAGTTCGCTTTCATCCACATTTTCTCCCAACAAGTATTTGATATACCCCTGTTGATTTTATGTAGCTTTTTAGGGTGTAGATGCCACCTGTGAACAACTTTCAGACCCAGTTACCCAATATGAATGACAGGATTATCTGAAAACGTTCAAAACAAATTCCAAAATTAATATTAGACTGGTTTTAAAAAAAATATCCTTTCAATGCAATGGTCCCTGTATGACCAGGAGAGGGTGCACCGAGCATCAAAGAAAGTCAGAGGCCAACCACATTGGTCTGATATGCAAATCATTTAAAAAAAGAGGAACTTATTAAGGTAAGAGAAAAACCAGAGTATCTTAGATTTTCAAATGCAGTGAGTTGAACAGAGATGTCCAGCGCTCCGTCTTACCCGGTGATCCTTGATCTCTTTCAGTCCATGACGCTGGATACTGTGGACAAAGCGCTTAATTGCTGTCGTGCTACCATCTCCTCCCTTGACCCTTGCCCGGCTTAGCTAATCAAAGCAGCCAGGCCAATAACAACGGAATGGGCCACAGCATTAATTAATAGGTCTTTCCTTGAGGGCAGAGTCCCTTCTTCCCTCAAGGAGACACTCATTAGGCCCATAAGGAAGAAACCTAGTTTGGCGGTGGACGAAATTGGCAATTATAGGCCCATCGCCAATGTTTCTTTCATGAGCAAAGTGGTCGAGAGGGTGGTGGCTGACCAGCTCCAGGCGCATTTGGATGAAACAGACGCCCTGGATCCATTTCAATTGGACTTCAGGCTGCGCCACGGTACAGAAACGACATTGGTCACCCTGTATGATGACCTGTTGAGGGAGGCTGACGGACAAAGTGTCTCTGATGGTCGTCCAGCTTGGGGAGAGTGTATCGGCCCCGTGGAGTCTCAGTTGCGGGGTTCCACAGGGGTCGATTATCTCCCCAATGCTGTTTAATATCTATATGAGGCCGCTGGGTGGGGTCATCGGGGGTGTGGGGCATCGTGTCATCAGTATGCTGATGACACCCAGCGCTACGTCTCCTTTCTACCAACTGCAGGTGATGCCGTCCTGTCCCTTCAGCGCTGCCTGGGGACTGTACTGCAATGGATTCAGAAAAATGAGCTGAGGTTCTTAGGGTGGCTTCGGTGACTCCCTCTCATTTGGAGGGGTGACCCTTGCCGCAAAGAGTGGGGTCCGCAGCTTGCGGATCCACCTGGACCCGACGATCACCATGGAGACTCAGGTGGCGCCGGTGGTCCACACTGCCTTTTTCCATCTGTGGTGCATAGCCCGGCTGAGACCCTATCTCGATGTGGGGGCGCTCACTACCTTGGTACATGCGCTTGTAATCTCAAGATTAGACCACTGTAATGCACTCTACGTGGGGCTACCTTTGAAGTTGGCACAGAAACTCCATGTGGTGCGGAAGGCAGCGGCCAGACTCCTAAGTGGAGCGAGAAAATACCACCATATTTCTCCTATTCTGGCCATATTGCACTGGCTGCCCATTCGGTTCCACATTGACTTCAAAGTCTTGATGCTTACATATAAGGCCCTAAACACTTTAGGACCTCGATACTTGGCGGAACGCCTGCTCTCACCAAGCTCTACCCGTGTCACTCGCGCGAGTCAGGAGGTGAGGCTGAGGAGCCTGACGCCGAGAGAGGCCCGGAAGGAGAAGACATGAAACCGGGCCTTCTCGGCGGTGGCTCCTCGACTCTGGAACAATCTCCCTCCGGAGATTCACGCGGCCCCTTCGCTGGGTATTTTAAAAAACCAACTAAAATCCTGGATATTCAGACAGGCCTTCCCTTCCAGTTAATATCTGTTTCTCTTCTTTTTTCTTTGTGGTTTATCTTCCTTTTTTTCCCCCCATCTTGAAGTTTTGACTATTTAATGTGATAACTATTATTATTATT